GGGGGGGCCCCCCCCCCCCCCCCCCTCCTGTGTGACCCCGGTTGGGTCGTCTAGCTAGGAGAAGTGGAGGATGGGGCCAGAGGGGCAGACGACGAATAGGACAATAATGGGATAAAATAATAATAAAAAAAAAAAAATAGAGTCACACCCGCGCACAGCCTCCAAAAGCAGAGGAAAATGCAATGGAGAAAACATTTCTCTGGACGTCCCCACGCCCCATACACAGCCTCCCAGCCCCCACTTCACTCAAGGCGACTAGGACTAAAACTGGTCGTTTTTTTTCTTTTGTCTAGCCGCCTCCGCACTTGTGCAAGGTGGTTCAAATTGAATCAAACAACGCTGAGGCTTTAGACTTGTCTTCGAAGGGAACCACGGACCACTTACAGCTAACTGCGATGTGCCTTACCAAGGCAAAACGGACTACCAATGCCCGGTTGTCGCTTTTCACTTATCGTGGGAAGCTGCCAGACCGCCTCCACACGGCGTGTCTAGGATCCCCCGGTCAAGCCCCGGAGCGTGAAGATATGGTCTCGAGTTAGGGACCGCATCCCGTCCGTCCCCCATCTTTCTAGCCGAGGAGCATTCCTAGGGGGGAGTAGATTTGCTTGGCCGGTGAAAATCCACCATGTCACCCACCGGCGTAGGGCTTCCCGATTCGTGTTCTCTCTGGCTCTCATTTTAGTTGTCAATAATAATCTTGTTTTCTAGTCTTTTTGCTGTCGAGTCTCTCTTGTAGCCTGGCGCTCAGTTTTTTTCTTTGAACTCAAACCGGCGTCCAAAGTTCCCCCTGGCTGTACCGCCACCGATTGGTTCAAAAAGCAGGCCGGACACAGATATAGGGCCCGATTTCTCAAGTCGCAAGGCAGTAACAAGGGTAGCTGAGCGTTTGCTGGTCACAGCCTCATGGGTGCCTCTTGAAAGGCGACTGAATCACGCACGAAAGATGCTTTGGTTCCGAGTCGTCTCGCGTCAACGGTTCCACTAATTTGAATCCCTCCAAACCTCAAAGGTGCACTATTCTTGGGTGGAGCGGACATGGACTTGCGAGGAACGACGCAATGGGTCGGCAACGCCGCCGGTGGTGACGGAGGTGAATCTCTCAGTTGTGGTCGAAGGTTGGAGGTGTGGATGGCTGGTCATTCTTTGCTTGCTTCCTTTTCAGGACCTCGCGATGAAGGCGCTTTTTCATAGCGTCAGCTTTTGAATGCTCTTTCTCGATTTGAACTGTACACATATACCATGCGTTTTTGGTGGCAACTTTGGTGGAGTTTCTCTGACGGCAGAGTATCTTCATACTCTTCCCTCTAAAATGTAGGTAGAAGACTCGTCGATTCATTGACGCGCATGTGCGGAGCTCGTCGATTGTCCGTGACTCGTGTGGTCGACGCCCAAATTCGCCGGGTCTGGCGTTGTTTCCCCGGGGGCGCGTCCCGCAAAAGCATTAAATGGCGAACCAAGTTGAAGCCCGTTCAAGTTGCGCGACGGTTTCTCCATTTTTGGCCATTGTGAACTTCGCGGTGATCTGTTTGTTCTCATTGTCAATGATTGCTGCGCTTCGTCTCGCAGGCGCACTGTATATGGAAGACGCAGCGACATCATTTGCGTTGTCCCGTGTGGACGCATCTTTCACAAACAACGCAGCCGGAGCCGACGGAGGTAACGACAGCAAAGGGGAGAATAAAGAGATGGACCGTTGCAAATCCCCTCCTTATTTGTGTTTGTTGTTGAAACATCACTCAGATTCTGTCTTCGGGCAGCTTTTACCCTGCAACGCTCGAACGTATTCCATAACAACGACGTTGGGTCGAGAACAAACGACGCCTCTACCCTTAAAGCAAACAAGTACGTGGGACTCACTACAAAACGGAAGTGGCGTACGCTGTCCAACAAGCTGCACGCTTGCGGCTTCGGTCCTTAGAGGGATACATCGCGGCAGCGTTCGCGTCACTTCCTTGAACATTTGCAATTTTCTGCCTTATCTGAGGCTGATCAGGTGATATCGTTGTTTTTTTTCTTGTCTCGCCCGCCCATCGCATAGGAGCTATAGCAGTCACAGGCGGCTCTTCTTTGTCCATCAGCGGGCCGATACCATTTCGATACAACAAAGCGCAAGAAAACGGAGGTGAGGATCATGTGCGGGCTTCGTAGTCTACGATGAACATGTTTCCCGGCTGTTTTGTGTGAAGCGCCAGAAATCCAAGGGAGTTGTCATCCAACCTTGCTCCTCTCGATACCATGTAGACAAGTCCCGGAACTACCGTAATCGTCGGAGTTTCCCCCCCTAGGCCGGGACCTTTTTTTCTGTCTGAAACCAAACCCCCCAGGGGGAAATTGAAATGGGGGGGGGTCTTTTTTCCCCCCCGAAAAACGATCTACCTGGGGATAAATCAAAGATTTAATTGGTCCAGGCTGAGAAGGTGATGGGGGAGGGGGGGGCGTCCTCATGTTTTGCATGCCTTAGTTGTTAGACCATTGACCACGCGTCCTCGAAAGGACGGAGCATTGTTCCCACAGGATCGATCACCGATGGCCAATCGTTCCTTCCTACTTTGCCAAAGGTGGCGCAAAAATGTTTTCCCTAACCTGTCTACTTCATTCCTGTCCTTCCTGGGCCACTGCCTACACCCCAGTACCGCTACCGTCTTCCCCTTTTTGTCCCAATCCTCAAACCACTGGCCGTACCGACTGTCTACTTTTTCCAGCTCAGCCATGTACACTTTTCTCTCCTTATCGTACAACGGGCATTCCGCAACCACATGGACCCGGTCTTCGCACTCGCTGCCGCAGTCACATTTGAACTTGTCGTCGTCCTCGTTCACGTGTGCCTTCCTAAATCTGCGTCTACGTTCCCGAAGGTCAATGTCACCCGTCCTAAACTTGACCTTCAACTTTGTCCCTTCATCTAAAGGTCCATGCAGGTACTCCTTAAACCCTATTCGTCCAGCCTTCCGTACACTTCTAGAATCTCCTTTTCCTTTGTCTCTTTCCTTAGGCTCTCGATTTCCCTCCCCTCAAAAGCCTCTGACACAACCTCCTTGAAATCCTCTAGGTCTTCCGCCTTCAACGCATCCCCTTCGTCAATATCTAACCCACTCCACACTTCCCGTACAACCTTAGCCCACTCAATGGGTTGTCTACCCTTCGCCTTGTTGGCCCACTCCGCCTCCCAAGTAATTCTCGGTAACCTCTCCTTTCCCATGTTTTCGATACGGTACTGCCATGTTAACTTCCTTGTGTCTCTTTCCGTTCTTAAGGAGTTAATCCCCAACTCTGCTCTTACTGCTGCATTACTTGTACGTTGGGAGCACCCTAGAATGATCTTGGCTGCTTTCATCTGCGCTGCCTCCAACTCTGCTACTATCTTCTTATTCCCTTCCCAAACTTCCCCGGCGTACTCTAGCGACGGGATGATAACGCTTTTCAAAATGGTTAGTTTGATGCGTGTATCAAGGTGCCGGTCTGCGAGAATTGGGTGCAGCTTCCCTGCCCTTGCTTTGCCCTTTTTCCGCTATTTTATGCATGTGTGCATCCCATTTGCAGTCTTGTGCAATCTCTACTCCCAGGTATGTGTACTGTTCCATTATTGGCAACTCCTTGTCCCCCCATGTCCACTTGTCTCCTACTTCAACGTCACCATCTCCGTTGCATACCACTACGGCACACTTTGGGACGTTGGCCGAGAATCTCCACTTATCAGCATAGGCCTTAGCTGCGTTAATCTGTAGTTGGAGCCCCGCAGGGGTGTCCGACATCCCAACGAAGTCGTCAGCAAACAGCAGTCCCGATACCGAGTTGTCCCCTACTTCTACTCCCTTCCCTACCGCCTCTACATCTTTCAGCAAGTCGTTGATGAATATCTGGAACAACGTCGGGGACATTGTGCACCCCTGTGGCACCCCCTGCTTAATTTCGAAAAACCTCGAGAGTTCTCCATCTAACATCACGGCGCTTTTCGTGCGCTCCGTCATCTTCTTAAGCATTCTCCACATCTTCCCGTTTATCCCATACGTCGCCAACTTCTTCCAGAGCCCATTTCTCCACACCGTATCATACGCCTTCTGAACGTCTAGGAAAAAACAGTAGGTCGGCTTTCCCGCCCTCTTCCGACCTTGTATGATTCTTCCTACCGTGTATACGTGGTCTCCGCACCCCCTAGCCTCCCTGAATCCTGCTTGGCCCTCACTAATTCTCCGTTCCGTCTCCATTACTCCTACTGTTCTATTGTTGAGGATCTTGAAGAACACTTTTCCTACCGTGCTCAACAGGGTGATTCCCCTGTAGTTTCCTGGGTCAGTCTTATCTCCTTTCTTAAACAGGTTCACCACCACCCCTTCCCTCCATCTATTCGGTGCGTATTCATTTTTCCACACCCAGTTGAACAGCAACACCATCATCTGAACCATCCCCTCCCCCCCGAACTTCATGAATTCGTTCACTATCCCGTCTACCCCTGCGGCCTTGTGGCACTGCAGTTTTGTCACACAGCTCTCAACCTCCTCCTCGGTGAACTTCTTCTGGAGCTCTACATTCCCAACTTCCTCCATCGATTCTCTCTCTTCTACTTGGGCCCATGCGTCTACCTCTTTCTTGAATACTTGGTCGAAGTCTGCATTTTCCGACGGCACCCCGAGTCTCCTATAGTGTCCTGCTAGTACTTGTCTCTTACCCTTGCCACTGCTGACTAGGTTACCGTCTACACCTCGCAACGTTGCTACTCCTGTTTCCCCCACGCCCTCGTTCTTTTTTACCAACCCACTAATTCCCTGCCACATCTGTTTTACGCTACCCTCCAACCCCCCGTTCGCTTCCTGCACTACTTCATCCCAAATACCTTTCTTTTTCTTTTTCACTACTCCCTTCACGTGTTTCCTCTTGACTCTGTATGTTTCCCAACTCTCCTCTGTCTTTTCATCCAGGTGTTGCTTAAACAGTAGTCTTCTCTCCCCTATTTCTTCCCTCAACTCTTTGTCCCACCACCTGACCGCCTGACCACACCGAACCATCTTTTTCCCTATCACTTCCTCGGCGGTTCTGTTCACGATTTTCTCCCACCCTGCGATTACTCTGTCCCCTGTTACTTGTACGTCTACCCCATCATCCCCCGCTTTCTCCAACAATTCCCTGACTAGTTCTACACTGGCAGCATTCCTTCTTTGAAATTCAGCACGTACCCTCTCATTTCCCAGCCGTTCTACTTTCCATCTGAATACCTTCCTCGTCTTCGTACTGTTGACCCTCTTTTTACGTGTTGTGCTTGCCCAAATAAGGAAGTGGTCAGTAGAGGCTATGTCCACTTCGTTTATTCGCAATCTCGGCACCCGTTTGGTCTCTCTCTCTACCAAGATGTAGTCCAGAATCGAGAATTCCCCGAGAATCGCCCGTTGCCTGGTATACTGCGGGTGTCCTCCTTACTTCTATTGTTTATCGCCATCAGCTCGTTACTCCCTAAGAAGTCAAGCATTTTCTCCCCGTTGGCATTTACTGTGGCTTCTCCGTATTGCCCTATCACCTGCCCCCCTCTACTAGCTCTCCCAACTCGAGAGTTGAAATCGCCTACCACGATAACTTCTCCTTTCCTCTTGAACTTCTGGACATCCTCCCCCAATTGTTCGAAATTCTCCTGCTCCTTGCTGGCGACTTTCTTCGACGACGGTGGAACGTATGCATTCCCGATACACAGGTCTAGCTCACCCCTTTCTCCGGGCACCCTTATCCATAAGCTTTCCTCGAACGTCGTCTTCACCACTATTTCTACCAACTCAAACAAGTGTTCCTTGATGAGGAATCCAACTCCCCCCGCTCCCCGTTTTTTCGGGTCTAAATCTTTCCTTGCCTTGCCTATCCACCGGTATTCTCCTATCTTGTTGTCGATATCTCCATCTTTCAACTCCCATGACTCTTGGATCCCTACCACATCTAGCTCAGCCTGTTGTACTTGCTCCACTATTTCCAACCTCTTGAGTTGGTCTCTTGCGAACCCGCACACTTTCCACGACCCTACTCGCAGCTGGTTTTTGTCCCTATTGGACTCCTTCTGCACCTTACGCCCGCTTGCCGCCTCGTCTTTTCGATCTTCTTGCTTACTTTGCAACCCCCCTCCCCCCCGCTGTTCACCGCCCTCTTCACTCGTTCCTGTCGTCTTACCTCCTTCTCTGATTCTATCATGTTGGCTATGCAAACCCTCCATCCCACCTTCCGTACGTATTTCGACAACTTCTCAGTGTCAACACTTTGGCATATTTTACTATCACCTTTGGTCAGTGTAACCCGGAAGTGATCATGCTCTCTACCTACGCTCCCCCTAGCTATCCAATCTAGTCCTTCCGTCACACATGATTTCTTGAACTCTATCCTGGTCATGTCTCGATCGACCCCAAAAACTAGAAACTCCAACTTGTCTCCCTTGTACAACTTCTTCTGCCATCCGTCTGAGTACCTCACCCTTCTCATGATATCTACACACATTGGACCGTAGCCTCTTTGTTCGATGTTTTTTGTAGTAGGAAATATACGGAATGCTCGGCCTTCCCAATCCGAGCGTCCGGTGAGGGTTATGGCTCCTTTCAATTATTTTGCCGGCCCACCAACGCTAAATAGCGCCTCCAACATAGGCTCATAGTCTAGACCCAATATTACACCTGATGGCACAAGTACCCCAGTCTTGTACCGGATGCTTTGAATGGTTACTGCCCAGACGTCCCCCGACCACCCGATACATCATTCCTGTTTTCTCGCTATACAGGTTACTTTCCTCCAGGGAGGTCATTTTCACCACAATAAGTTCAGGGACGACTTGCATAGCCTAAGATCCTACTCACACGCTGGGATGAAACGCATAACAACGTCCTGCTTCTCCTATACGTTTCACCATGGGTTGCTACCCCACTTACGCTCCCGAGTAGATCTATCTGCCGAAAGTTTAGCCAACAATCCCTTATCGCTTTGTACTCGCCTCTGTCACTCCAGAAAACAACATATCGTGTGTTCCGCACATATAGCTCCGCATGGTCTTGCGTGGTTGGTCAATTACTTATAGGTCACATCTCGACGCTGAGTAATAAGCTTTTCCTGTGTGGTTCCATGTACAATAAATCCACATCAGGCAATGATCATCCCGCCCCTCTCCTTCGCTCGACCCATTTTGGGTCGTACGTTGGAGATTTTAGGGATGTCGTAGCTCCAGTCTTCCACCGCCCAATGGGGACTAGTATTTTTCAATGCCGTACCAATAGACATTAACCTTGGGTAAGCTTGTGCTTACTTTGGACTGTACCCTCCTCCCTCCTGGGGGGGGGGAAGGAGGGGGGGGGGGGTCGACCCAATTCGACCCGTTTCTAT